TTAATATCTCCATTAACAAGCGTCATACATCACATAATATTGTTCAGATCCACTGTATACAAAATTACGTAATCGTATGTAAAAAACAATTGAGATATCCTCAATAAAGGAAACACAATCTTTGAATTCTTAAAAAATATAAAAAATGATAAAAAACGCGCAAAAAATGACAGTATTCATGATAGAATAGAAGTATACAAGTGATAAGTATTCAAATTTATGTGAAACTGTGAAAAAAAATGTTTAAAACGCCTAAGAGAATAGCAACATCAAAAAAAACGGTAAAAAAGTAAGTACGGGAACGGCAAATTTATGATAAATGTGTAAAAACTCCTTTTAAATTATGTTCTCCTAATACAAAGTCGAATTTTTCTGCCGAATGTTTCGTTCGGTCGGAGGGTTCCAAGAATTTGACGTCAGTCCCGAGAATTTCTAAAATTCCAGGAACTCGACGTCATTTCCAAGAATTTTAGGTCTTCCGAGAATTTGACGTCATTTCTTGGAAAAATTTTTCGATCGACCTCCTATCGCATCATATTCTCCTGATACAAAGTGGAATTTTTGTGCCGAATGTTTCGTTTGGTCGGAGAGTTCCAAGAATTTGATGTCATTTCCGAGAATCTCTAAAATTCCAGGAACTCGACGTCATTTCCAAGAATTTTAGGTCTTCCGAGAATTTGACGTCATTTCTTGGAAAAATTTTTCGATCGACCTCCTATCGCATCATATTCTCCTGTTACAAAGTGGAATTTTGTGCCGAAGATTTCTTTTGGTCGGAGAGTTCCGAGAATTTGACGTCAGTTCTGAGAATTTCCAAAATTCTAGGAACTTGATGTCATTTCCAGGAATTTTTAGGCTTCCGAGAAATTGACATCATTTCTTGTAAAAATTTTTCGATCGACCTCCTATCGCATCATGTTCTCCTAATACAAAGTCGATTTTTGGACAAAAATTTTTCTATCGCCCCGGAAATTTCGTCTTCAATCTTTTTTATTGAATATCTCGCTTATTCTTCATAATATGAAAAAATACTTGGAATAAAAGTTGAAAGGCATCGAAAGAGCTATATTCTGGTACCCTCCATTTTTTCGTAGATGGACCCATAAAAAACTTATCAATCTCGGTTTTAATTTTTTAAATGTACCATGTACTTTTTAATATGCCAATCTATGCGTCTTGGCATTCTGTATGAAAAAATACTAAGTCTTATATATCAGAGCACTTATAGTTAGGAAATAATTAATTTTGGTTAAATATATTTTAATGTAATGGTTCTTTTTTACTATAAATTTTTTACTGAGTGGTTTTCTTATTTCAAAGTAACAAAGAATGGATATATTCAATCAACATTTCGTTCTTTATCATTAATTATCACATTATCATTAATTGTTTGATTAATCTTTTCATCGTATTGAATATCTTGTGGTTCTTATTGTTACATATTATCCTATTTATAATTTTTACAAAATTCTTTATCTTCCCTCCATTTCATGTCGCTTAAACATATCGAAAAGTCTACCAACAATATCATTTCCTCCCTCTTTTACAATTTTTTCTTTTTTTAATCGCACCTACCCTATACTTACCTACCACGTGGCGCGTCCACTGGCCTTACCCCGTGCACAGAGGGCTATCAGAGGCGTATGGAACACGTGTGTGAAGCTGATTAGCAATCACGTGAGCAAGTGGAGGAACGCTTCAGGCTACCCTGCATCGGCTTTGTTTATCGCACGACCCGCTGGGGCGAACCTAATAAACCGATCGAACATGGTTGGAGGGACATTTGGGTTACGCAAGCGTACGCCTCGCGTGTATTCGATTTTTCCTCTTTTTTTTTTCCTCATTTTTCAAGGACACCGTTACGACGACACGAGGATGCGATTAAAAACGCCATCCGCCTCGCTTCCATAGGAATCTTTCGAAAGCGGGAGGGCAGAGGATTCCGCGCGCGTAAACGTGATTAATCGAGGCGAGTCGAGGGTCTTACCAAGAGGGTGGCACGCATAAAAAGCTCGTGCCACCCGTCCTAGAATTATATTTATAAAAAAAAAAAAAAAAAAAAAAACATAAAAAGGGAAGGAATCATTAATCCCGCACGAATAAGCCGGGGAGAAAAGGTTTCCTCTTCTATTTTTACGGCAACGTAACGCCACGCGCGGTAAAAATAAGATTCGCTGAGATCGGTTACGCGGGGGGAAGATTTTGTTACCTTACCGGGTTAAAGAGGATCTTCTGATATTTATAACGACTAACCAACTCGCGCTTTATGACTATTTAACGCTACTTCTTTTCTATTTTCGATCTTCTTTAAAGTAATATTTTCGAATATCATTTGGATTCTGTGGAATCTTGATTAGGAAAAGATAGCATATTTGTATATGATTTCTTGAGAGGCGAAAAATATGGAACTTGGAGATATATTGAAAATATAAGAATAATAAAATATATTTTTTAATACTAAAATCTTATGCGATTTTCAAAGATAAGGAAAAAGTTGCTTCTTCAATTATTAAGGACAGATATATATATTCTAAAATTATATACCTGTATACCTTGTATACCTGTTTCATAAAAAGAAAGTACCATTTTATTCTAGACTAATGTTATAACAGGTATGTTATGCAATATTTATGAAGAAAGAAGACCGCAAAGAGACATCTCGTTCGTTATCGATATATAATCGAATATATACTTATATTCACGCACACACGCATATTCAATTTCACGTGTAGCCACGATAGGAGTTCGCAGGATATCGTCGAATTCGCAAATTGTTGATTACTCCTCCTCCGATCCTCGGTTTCAATTCCGTGAACTTCCTTTTCAAACGCGTGTGTCAGCGTTCACGGAATAAATGGCATCGTATGAACCGCTTCCGTGATACCACTCAGAACAGCGAAATTCGCTTATTAGAGATAAATTCATTTATTCAATCCCTTTAATCTAATAAACGGCAATTTTTACGCATCTCTAACGTGTTCAAATTGAAAAAAGAGATTACAGATATTTACAGAAATTGAAAGTTACATTGAATTTTATATTTTTATATAAACTATAGATACATTTATTATAATTATAACGATCGATATATACGAGAATGGGTTAAGTTAAAGAAAGAAGATTCGTAATTTTTAATTATTATTTTCGTAATTTTTCCTTCTTCTTTATTATAAAACAACAGTGTTACGCAAACAAAACCATTGTTAAATTGCTCGATGTCCATCCCCACAAATTAACCAATTACACAAGATTCGTGTCGCCACGAATTCTTCGTCCTCGTCCACAACCACGTTTCCGAACCACCCCCTTCCATATTAATCGCGCGTTCAATCGTTCCGGAAATTTAATTACGTTTTTGTCCAAAGCCCCCAGGGATTTGTTGACAATTCTCGTAGCAACTCTCGAGAGGCGAGTTTCTTGCCGCGATTACTGCCCGCGTGCTCGGCTAATTGCTTCTGACTTCTGCGAGTTATCGTCTCTTCTTGTCCTCGTTACGATTAATAAAAATATCTGGTCCCCCGGTGTCGAAAGAAAGAGAAAAGGGAGGGGGGGAACTCCGAGAGCGAACGAGGAGAGCGAAGAATAAGAGAGAGAGAGAGAGAGAGAGAGAGAGAGAGAGAGAGAGAGAGAAAGAGAGGAAAGGAAGAGAAGAAAAAAGTAGAGAGAAAGAGTGGGTTGATTAGGCGAGGAATTACGGAAGTTATTGAAGCCGAGTTATGCAAGGCTGTGCGGCAGGAGCGTAAAAACTGGGCGCAATCGCGACTGGCGCCTCGTAATGGGCATGCCTACGGCGAGTTATGGCGCGGCAATAATTGTTTCTTCGCGTTTCGTAAGCCTCTCTCTCTCTCTCTCTCTCTCTCTTTCTCTCTCTCTCTCTCTACCCACGTCTCGACTTTAGGTATCTTCTTGCGCTCCTCCTATTTACTGGCCGGCCGGTGTGCCGCGAAACGTCGCAATTTAATTTCCATTAAATTTTACGATTGCAACGAAAGTGTTGCGCAGCGGTGGCGGTTTCGTCACGCCACCGCGAAACTTTCGACAAGTGGGCCGTGTTATATAGCCCGTGTCACGCGATTTTCACGTGGAAATCGGGGGAGGATTAAATTTCTTCCTGGGGGAGGGGGGAAGGTGGGGAAAAACGGTTTCGATCGGAATTGGGGATCGGGGGTTGAGTGACCGATTTTATTCGAGCGCAGAAGGGATGACTCGTTAATGGAAAAATATTCTGGTCTGGGTATTCTTTCGAAAGTGTATACTTGAATATAAATTGTTTGGAGTAGAGCGTTATATACACTGAATTTACACTTTATTTTTTTCACTATGGCTATGTATTTTATCTGGGATCTCTCGTCGATATAAATAGGAGTTTTTTTTTCTTTTTTTTATTTAAACTCAAGAGCAGTTTGATGATTTTATCATCGAAGGATTTAAATCGTTTCCGCATTCAGAGAGATGAAGAAACTATCCATCAACGAGATATCGTAATAAGTCATTCTGCTTTCGTAACTATCAATCGTTTTGTCGGAATGACTTGCTCTCTTACAAGTATTATTATTATTATTATTATTATTATTATTATTATTATTATTATTCATTACTCGGTTAAAAAAAAGAAAAAAAGAAAACAGAGGCGCCGTTTATGACGTTCTATTTACCTATTCGAATCTAAACAATCTTGGGAAAAAAAATCTTTCTCGATCCACATTTATGCAATTTATTCTCAACTTTAACCTCTATTTCGTAAACTAGAATTTTCTGCGTCTAAGAGAATTTGCAAAGAATTTCTTGAAAGAATAATACAAGAATAATACAATAATAATAATAATAATAATAATAATAATAATAATAACTTATTTTAAACGATTATTTTTAATTTTTTTTTTTTTTTTCATCTAATCTCAGTTTTAGGAATAAGGTTAGGAATAAATGGATAGTGGAAATAGGTGAAATAAACGAATTCAAATATTTTTCAAAGATTTGTATTTATTAAAAATCGTGTCCAAATGGTTTACATTTCTTTTATTGAATTTGCTGTAGATCTCCATACTCTTCATACTAAGAGAATTCCCTATAAGAATGGTAAAAATTTCTTTATTCGTTTATGAATAAGAATTAATAAGCACATAACAGAAGATGAAGTTTGACTTACTTAATTCTGATGACACCCGATATACATCCGCTCACGAAGTGGAAAAATCTACGCAGCTGTGAGATTTTTCGGTGGCGCAGCTGTGTGTGGGCGGAGTATTCGTAGAATTTTCTCGGGATAATTCCTCTTATCTGGCTATTCTAGGGCCTATCGTCAATGTTATCGGGCGGAGAGATAAGAACATCGTCCCCCAGGAAGTGCACGCGATGAGAGGAGGGCCGGTTAGGTGCACTTTAACGATCCGTCCGCCCCATCGGCTCCGATTACCGTGTAAACGCCATGAAAAATTGTTCTGTTGATCGAGTCGAGGCCAGAAGTTCACCGAGCATCGATCTTATCGATGCCAGATTATCGAAAATACGCCCCCGGTCCACAACTCAACTTCATCTTCGCTTAGATATTTTCCTCAAATCTTCCGCCATCGTATGTTTTCAGGCCTCTCCACGGAATACTTCGAGGGGTGTGAAACTTTTTCACGCTCTTTCCTAAAACCCGATTTCTGTGCTCGCACGATCTGGAAATAAATAATATTAGACAATAATATTTAAGAAATTTTTATAATCGTTTACGAAAAATTCGATCGTACCTGAATCAAAAATAAATCTGGCAATATTACATCGTAGGAGAAATTTCAAGCAAGAATTGCGTAGCTTCGAAAGAGATCTAATGATGTAATTATTCTATTGTTATTCTTCGCTTTTTTATCCAGATCATTTTCGTCGAAAAAATTCAGGATATTGATTTCTCTTTTCCTTTCCTCGGCAATCCATACAGTGCCATTCCTCCAAACCAACTTCAATAATACCGATCCATCGGTATTATCCAAAAATCAAGTTACAATATCATCTTACATCTTGCTTACGCTTTTATCGTTTAAATGACGATGCGATTCTAAAAATATAAAAAAAAAAAGAGAGAAAAGCAAACAAACAAAAGAAAAAGAAAAAGAAGAAAAGAAGTCAGGCGCATTTATAACGCTCGCCTTGACACGGTTCTTTGGCTGGAAGGAGGTAACGGGATTAGATGGACGGTCGCGTGCGAAAAAATCGTTGCGAAAAAATCGCGGCGAAAATCGTTGGGTTTTCTTTTCTCCGTTGTCGCGCTGTTGCGCGATTGGCCCACGTGGTCGCGATTCGCGCGCCTCCACGATGGAAGATCGATGCCACGGGTCGGCCATCCAACGATCTTGGCCCGGTTCCCACCGACGCAGCCTCGGGATGTCGCGTGCCTTCATCACAGCCTTTTCCACGTAAATATCGCGGTTTCGACGATGATGACAACGAAGCGCGTTTCGACTCGATTACGAGAACAACTGTGTATACCGTGATTCCTTGTAAGGCGGTTCGAAAGTAAAGGATGCGCCTGGCAACCGATTCCACGCTGGAGATGACTTCATCGGTTCGCTGGCCTCGTGTATACACGGTGTTTATACATTTATGTACCTTTGTTGAACGGATTCTAGAACAAAATAAGTTATACAAAAAGATACTTGTGACTTGATAAATAAGTTGATCTCGTTTAGTTCGGTCTCTAGAATCGAAGCATAAGATATAAGATATCGAGACGTATTATAAATATTGATCGTAGTTAGTAAATTATTAGACAGAGTATCTTATTATCCTATTGCAGAGTCGATGAACTGGTAATTAAGATTACAATGATATCATCGATTAATCACCTTTTTAATTTGAAACAACACCATGCTTGTCTCGTTTTTGTTTAACAAATTTTAAATCCTGAAAAATATTAAAAATAAGAGAAATTAATATACTGTTATATTAATCGGAAAAAAACGTTAAATCTTCTTCTTTTCCAATAACTATAACTTAAGAGAAAAACTATGGCTAATAACAGTTGCGAACACCCTTGCACATTAGACTCGAAATTAACTAATCGAAGTTTAAAATTTGTCGTATTGTCACGAAACGAGATCCAAACCTGAAGTGAAATTTCCCCTGTCTCGCAATTTCTCAAATTCAAACTTCCTTCCACCGATCCACGTTGCGCGTATATATGTGTATAATTCGAAACGTTTCCATAGAAATATTGCGCGAACAGTATGGAGCAAAGTTCTCGGGAGCAACGAGCTTAATCGTTTGATCGTTTGACTCTCGATCTAACGCTCGATCTGGCGCTGCTGGAAATGAGCACAGCAAAGTCATAGTCGACGAACGAGCGCGGCTGTTAAGAGGTTAATCGGCAGAGACCCGGCGAGATTCGTGTGTACCGAAATTGTCCGGTTGCTCGTTGCCCACCCGTTCAATCTAAACCGTCGTCGTCGGTCCGCAATTGCTTTCTCACGCTGCATGCCTGGATTCGATGCTAAACCTAATGGAATCGAATATAATAGAACTCCATTTGTATATGAAACTGTAGCTCACCGTAACTAGGCTATAAGTGTAACTAGGAATAGTCCATCTAATAATTCCACCATCTGCTATTTTTCGTCCAATTAATCCGAGGAATTTCGAGTTCGTGTAAAAGGAAACAATTTTTCTGAAATGGATAACGATGTAATGTCATGACTTAACATCGAGACAATAGAATAATTTAATTAGAGTTTGGATGATCAGATATTGCGTAAGATTCGTGTAAATTTCAGTGCAAATGTTAAAAAAATTTTTTTTTTATATGGATTAATATTTATAAATATATGAGTTTACAAATTTTCATTTTACGCAACTTCTTTTTTATTTAATGATTGTTATTGGTATTAAAGTGATTATATACATTTTCCTCAAAGTGATTTTTTCCTCAGAATTATTTAAGCAAAATATAATGAATGTCAATATCTGTTTCTAATAGTTGTCGAAAAAATATAATATAGCGGCTGAAAGATAATCTAAAGAATGGAAAAACGAATATAAAGACTGTTAAGAGATATCGCACACGATCGATAATATTGGCGAGATAGTATTGTTAAAAATATTGACAATATTGTCAATATAGTTTTACAATGATATTTTCAATCCGCTTTAATGTTTTTCGAAACTGCACACGATCAATAATATCTATTGTCAATATTGACAAGCGTTGATAACTATTGACAATATTATTGATCGTGTGTAGTTTCGAAAAACATTAAAGCGGATTGAAAATATTATTGTAAAACTATATTGGTAAGTTGTAAGTAATAGTAATACTGATAACTGTTGATAAGTATTGACAATATTATTAATCATGTACATATTTTGAATATATTTGTCCAAGCATATCAAACTATATAAGTGTAGTAAATTTTATACCTTCTCCAACATCGCCAGCAACCAATACAAATGATCGGTGTGACGTTAACAGATATAAAGAAAAAAAAAAAATTTTCGTGAATATTTTAAACGCTTCATACAAGTGAAGAAACAAAATTTCACACGTATCGATCTAATATTATTCATTACATTTCCAACGAAACAAAATATTATACTTTATTGTTTGTAACGTAATTTAACCTCCCTATTTGATTTCGTTAATGACTTCCATTTGCCTGTCCGGGAATGAAACTCATAATGGTCGGTAAAGCCAGCTCGAACATTCGTCCGCCATTAAATAAATTAAGCTCGGGGCCCAGGTTGCCCTAAAACGCGTAAAAGTTCCTTGAGCCGTGTTTCCATGATGCGGTAATCTCTGCATATTTCAGCAATTTGAACTTGGGTCAAGAAAATGGATGCAAGAGTGGCTCTTTAACGACTCCGATGCACTTCCATTCGAGTCTAGCTCCTTGAAATTTCTAGGGACATTCAAGCGATTGGCTGACTTGCACCGCGAATTTTTCTATTTTACCTGATGTCGGTAAAAGCGGACCAAAGCCGCGCAGCTGTGTCCGTCGTTGTTAATTAATGCTAATACGGATAACGAGTGTTGGTTACTTTGTAATTCGACGACGGTTTAGCACCGCGGAAACCGTTATCCGGACTTAGCCAAAGGATTTCACCTTTCTTTCTTTGTTTCTCTTCTCTCCTCTCGGATAGAAACGCACCAACCGGAGACCAACAGGGGCCATTAATCTTGTCGTTTTCATTAGATCTTACCACTCACTTTGTGAACACTCGTCCACAAGATCGTGCGACAAAATTGTAAATAAACGAAAACTCGCGAAGCTTCTTCTTCTTTTTCTTCTTCTTCTTCTCCCCCTTCCCATGAAATAGATCCCTAGACTTTCGGTTCGACTCGATCCGTTTCAACCCGCATAAATGGATGTATTTATACAAGTTTTTCTCCGTACAATGGGGGATCCGGCCGTGTTGGGTGAAAGATAGGTTTCTCTAGAAACGTTATTCCCAAAGTTAGCTATTCACTCGATCATTTGAATTTCAAGTTTCTTCAAGGCTCGAACCCAGCTCCCGGCTCGATTCCTAATTCGGGACAGTTGACCTGAACCTCTCGAAGATTTCTTCTCTTCCCCCCAAAAAAAAAAAAATGTGTCGATCTTTCGCTATTTTTAGCCTGTCCATCGATTAAAAGTGGAACAAAAGAAATTGACCTAATGACCATCTGAGTATTATTATACGTGATGTTCGCTTTATATTCTATGATGTAGCCTGATGTGAAAATAATGTTTACGAAACAAATTTTCTGCCAAGCTTGGCGGTCTAATCGCGATTCCAATGGCGAATAAGCAGTCGTATTTTAATAACAAATTCCTCGGCCTGGATCGACGTGGCGTGGGCTTTCTATTCGAATAATAGATTCGGTCAGTGCGTCTACCTTCCAGGAAAATTCCGATCGTGCTACGTTTACAATCGCCTCGAATTCCTTCGCGCTCGCCCAGGCCTCCAACATTGACGTAAGAATCTGATGCATCGTGATCGACTCGGTTATTCATTTCATTCCATTTTTCAACAATTCTAACTTCTAATTATCGACGAAAATGATGAATAAATTTCTTAAATAGGATGTTTCGATCGTGATTAAATTCGACGATTCTATTGTGGTTTGAAATAAAAAGTCTATTGTATTTTTATAAGAAAATTTTAAAATAATTTCGAATTGGAAAGAATCGCATTCAATTTTCCATTCCACTTTTCTGTACAAAAGATCTTCAGAGAAACCTCATTGCGAAATTCTTAATAAATTAATAACGAATTTGTTTCCAATTAAATTTTAATATTTGAACCTCTCGGATAAAACAAATTATCCGTTCGGGCAATATTATTATTACATAGTATAATATTATCATATTATTAATATTAGAGAAACTACGCATAACATAAAGGCGGAGAATAATGTTCGACTGTTTAAATGCAATATTTGATAAACAAGAATTCTAATTTCAATTCTTTCGTAGCTCAAACGATACACGAGCGGTAACCGCGAGGCGGTAACCCGAAGCAACGGTGTTCCAAGTACTTAGGAATGTTAAGTCCGAATAGAGAAATATTATGCGATTCACACCTGTTCTCGAACGAAAGCAGGCCGCGTCAGAGCGTTTAGAATTCCTTGGGACGAGCGTCACGCGTCGCATTCCGTGTCGCGTCGCATGTTCACCGCACCGGATCGTCGCCGCCATACTTTGCTGTCAGTTTTTAATCGGATCGAGTTGACATTCCACAGACTGACGAACAATCGGCTCGTGTGGATAGCCAGGCCAACTCTGGACTAAAGGTAGTTTTCATTCAGAATAAAAATTTTTCTACCATTCGCTCGATCCATCTTTCGATCGATCAATAATTTGATTAAGAGAACGAATAGAGACGAATTATTTATTACACATATATATTCGAATCGATCGAGAAAATTTTGTTCTCATCATTTTAATCGATTATATCTAAAAAAAAAATACCAAGTCAAATAAGATGTATCAGAAGTCGATCAGTGCAAATCAGTGCATTCTCTCTCCTTTAAGAATCTCTCTTGTTATTTAAATTTTTATCGATGTATCAATTAAGTAAATAATTATTTCAATTGTTTAACAGTGAGTTAATCGGTTTATCGATTGAAGATTTGAACAAGTTATGTTCAAAGATTTCTGATATTGCTTTCAATATAAATATTTTTGACGATTCAAATATAATTCGTTCTCTTTTTATCGAATTAAATTCCATGAATATATTAACACCCTGTATACAGATACATAGAAATTTGATAAATTCAGTACATATTTTCATCTCATGATGCAGGGAGCCAAGCCTCCAACTTGAAACATCAAAGTAAGGGCGATTTTTTTTATCTCGATATTTTTTCATGTTCTTATCTGTAGTGACAGACATGAATGAAACATTATCAGTATCAGTTTTCATTCACAACGAAGGATAAGAAATTTCAAGGATATCTTCTGGCAAATATTTGATCTTGAATTAGTAAACACGCCATTAATAGCGCTATTTTTACGATACTTATCAAAGTTTATTGGTCTTGGAATTTTTTTTTTTTTTTCCATCACTTCCTGTCCCCCTGATTATCAGTTTGTCACGAGTTCGGTTTGCCAATGGAATATGCATAAGTTAATAGCCGTTTCACTTCTCCTTGCTCGATATATTCGTTCAGAATACCAGTGAAATTCACGAAAACGTTCACTATCGGCATTTCTTTTGACCGGCTGACTTGATTTTACCGAACCGTGCACCACCATGAATATTTAATTTAGTTTCTAAAACTTTTACAAAAAGGTGAACAATTCAATCGTATCAATCTGATA